CCCGTGTGCACATCACCTTGTGTAAATGAGGGGATCGCTCGCTGCTCCCGTGTGCACATCACCTTGTGTAAATGAGGGGATCGCTCGCTGCTCCCGTGTGCACATCACCTTGTGTAAATGAGGGGATTTCATGAAGCTCCCATGCACAGATCGCTGGACATAGCACTAATTGGCATCTCCTTTTTCCTTCACTTTCAGATGTTTTTAAAGTGGTCTTAATTACGGTTTCCCTTGCTGGAGTGCTGTGTCTGTTCGGGTGTTGCGGGTAAGGAGCATTCTCCGTGTACTGTATGTGCCACCATTTCTGCTCCGCATTTCCATGGCTTATTTCCTCATATCACTGCATCGCTTTGCTGATGTATACAGCCTAAGGAGTCTTGAAGGTTTGTCCACCTTTTACAGTAAACTAACGATGGGAGAAATTAGGCCTTGAGAGGCATAGTGCTCTATCAATAAATGCTTACCATTGACCCAGTGAAACCCAATGAAGTGTTCACTTACGAGTGAGTTATACCCCTAGCAGTAGACAAGTAGCCCCCACTATGTGTTTGGAAGCCTCATTCCCCACCTTTTGAAGAGTATTAATGTGGGACTATTGTGGATCAAAACTATTTTAGGAAGTACCCTCTCTGTGACCTGGAACTGCTTGCACAGGTGTCCAATCAAAGGAGTGAATTTCATATAAGCTATAGGGTGAGTTGGCTGTATTTAAGAAAACACTTTCTGCTTTTAAGTGCTGCTTGTTCTTCTGTCCACAGGCATCGGAGAGTGTCCTGCTCTTGGTGCCATGACAAAGTACCTGACCCAAACAACAGTCGCCTGTTCAAACCTGACCAGGTACTGACCTAACCATGTCATTTAAAGTATTGTGATTCTATTCTAGAGAAAACTGTGCAAATGAGGCTTCAGACATTTGCTCACAGGTCCACAAGTATATTTTAACCTCCACATTTTGTTGAGATATTAGCATTTTTAGTCTCTAGATGGTCAGTTTCTTTAGGATTTTGGGTAGGGTAATTGTTGGACAGTTACAATCTAGAGGGATCATCATTTGTAAACATCATGGGAATGAGCTGCTGAAACACACCAGGCCATCAGACTCCCTCTCCACCTTCAAGAAACACCTCAACACCCATCTGTTCCAGAAATATCTCTACTAGCCTAATACCACCTTATGGTCTTAAATGATGTTTCTCTTTGTGTGTTCATGACTCAGAATATAGGCATTTGGGAAAGTTTAGGTTCCCCTGAGTCCAACCAGAACCTGTCCTGTCTGGAAGTGATTGAGACGGAAGACTTTAAAGGCAAGGACTTTCCAGAGGAGGAGAACACACCCAGTGTACACCTGGAGAATGAAGTGGAGGAGGAGCAGATTTCAGAGGATGGTGAAGACACGGCTATGGCCCATTCTGCCGCGAGGAACGTGGCTGGAGACCCAGGCAGTGGAGTGAACAGCTACAGCGAGATGAATGACAGAGAAGGCGCAGAAGTAGATGGTGCGAGTCTGGAGGAGACGTTCTTCCCAGACTACGAGAAGCACTTCATGCCCTGCCCATGTGATATGTCGTCTTAAGCCCACTACTGGTACCTGGAATGAGGAAGGCGAATGACTGTACAGCACAAAGCATTTCGACAACAGAACACTGACACAATGCCTGTAACTTCATCTTTTCTATTTGTTTTGCTGCTTGTTTGCTTTATTTAGTAAATATGTCACATTTTTGGTAAGAGTTTTATGTGTTATTAAGAAAGTATTACGTAAATGTTGCATACAACTTTGCCAAATATCTGTTAGCACCGAGTAATACATGGCAATTGTGCACTCGCACATTCACTTCATACGGGTTTCACACCTATACTGATGCAACTAAAGGTTTTCCAATTTGGTGCAATGACTGAGCCACTCAAATAGCAAACTGAAAGCTTTACTTTGTGATAAGCTGACTTGAAACAGAAGCAATAGGCCTCAGTACTTGGATGTCTTCACACTGGTATTATGTGTCACATTTGTAAATGACACCTGGCCAAGATCGGCCCCAAAGTATCTTAAAGCTGTTGTGAACTTTAAAGAAAAACACACTCTATGTCTGTTTATTGCATCATTCCAATAAACTATATCCATATGATGAATGATTACTATATCATTATAAAGGCATGTGTACAATTCTTTATTTTAACCTTGTGGCAGATATTCAGTAGGCAACACTTGTTGCTTCACCCTCCACAGTGGGGACACCTGGGTTGTGTGTGGAGTTTACTTATTCTCTCTGAATTTGTGTACATTTCCTCCTGCAATCCAGAAAAATGTCCTGAGATGAACTGACGACTCTCCCTCCCTGTAGGTACACATTTTCTCTATCTCTCTCTCTCACACACACACACACACAGACTGCCCCATGCCTTGTGACATATACTTCCTGGTTAGCTCCAGGATCAGTGAGACCCTACACTTGATAAAAAGCCTGAGAATTTTATGTTTGGGTGTTTCCTTCAGCTTGCAGATGGATGAACAATGTTTAATTTCAGTTTTGTCGACTCAATTCGCAAAATACCTGGAAAATACTTTGGAGGGTTTTAAAATATATTAAAAGAAATCGCAATTTTTTAAACGTGATTGTATGCAAATGTATAGGCCTACGTTATTGCAACAAAGACGATCCCGCTCCCCTCGTACCTCCCCACGTGACGCCCGGGAGACCGCGTTAACGCGCTTGCAGTTTCTCCTCTAGTAGCCCGTATGATTCTACAGCGGGCCGCTTCTGATTGGTTAGAGTTAGACGTGGACGGAAGCCGAAAGGAGGCACGATGGACTGTTGAGCCGGCGTGCTTTAGCCCTGTTCTCCATTCCGAAAGCTGCTCGCCGCCGAATTGTATGAGAAAGGGCTAGGGAGTGATCGAGGCGACCACAACCCCGGCGAGAACAGGGAAATCCAGCGCATTTCCTCATTATTTTTTGCCGATCGTCATCGATATATTAGCTATTACGGAGACGCGGCGTTGAAGGATTGTACAGTTGACTTACCGTAAGATTTTCAGGTAATCTGTGTGCTTATTTCACGACCATCTTCTGTATTAGCTTGCTAGCTTAGCCGTTTATAACTAGCTAACAGGGAACTCCGCTAACTCTCGCATGGTGAATAACTATCTTGGTAATTAACTACCTGCCGCAGCTGGAGCAGATATGATGCGAAAGGGAGAAAATCGGATGTAAGATGCTGTAAAATCTTTCAAATGCGTAACTGATGTTGAAGGTTTAGTGGCGGTTTTGGTATTTGTAATTAATTAGCATTGCCCCGCGTTTTAAACATCCTGGGTGCATGGCGGACAACGTGATTGATTTTAAATCGGACTTTGGTAACAGACTGTAAATCAGTACAGTTTTGACTGAACACGGCGGAAAACGCGGTCATTTTGGCCTTGCTTGGCACCGAAGCCGGGAGCTGCCGTGAGTCGCTAACCTCTGGCTGATGCGCATTGTGTGCGATTGGAGCGGATTGCAGCTCCATGCAGCGGCTAGCCGTGCTCCACATACCGATTCCGCTAAGTTAGCCGCATCCCAGAGCCGTGCTTTTTTTTTTTTTTTACGACAAACGCGTTTAACGAGAAGGAGAGTATACCTATTTTGTATTTACAGGTGGAGTGAGGCTTTCTGAGCGGTGTCTATCAGAAGCCGAGCGGGTGGCGTGGGGGTTGGGGGCAGGATTAGGGCGGCTAAGCCGGTTATAGGGAGATCCACATCTGTGCATTTGAGTCATCCTGCCTCGTTTCCCCCTTATGCCTGACTCCCCCACGCTCGCTTGGATCGGGGATCTGCGGGAGTGAATCCGCCTTTACTGCCCATCTCTCTGGGTTGAAGACAGCCGCGCGTGTCGGGCCTTAAGCCCACATTATATCCTCGGCCATGTGGGTTTGCAGTTAGCCGGCAGTGTTTATATTTAGCCATTTCGTTTGCCCTTTGTGAGCGCACAGTATATCGGTGCAGGCAACCCTCTGTTTGTAAAAATGTTATTCCGATGCCTCTGTAAAGTTTGCGCAGTTGTCTAGGTAACCGGCTGCATTGAATGTCCGCGCGACGCCTTTCTGCGCTCGCGCCAATCGTGCCGCGCCTGTACGTATTGTCGTCCGTCTCACCCGAGCGATCATCTAAACGAAAACACTCAATTAGCATGCTTTCTGCTGGGCGCCTTGGGTCAAACGAGACACTCTCGAGTTGCATGTATGCACAGCTACTGGATACGTGCTAGACTCTTGTAGTAATTAACGCCTCACGTGCTTCCTGTGTGCGTGTTTGCTCCCCAGCCGTACAGGATGGAATGGCAGCCAGACGAGCAAGGACTGCAGCAGGTTCTCCAGCTTCTCAAGGACTCGCAGTCCCCCAATACCGCCACGCAGAGAGCTGTGCAACAAGTATCCTTTCGTGCAATCCTCCACATCTCCATTTCCCCCCTCCTCCAGAATTATTATGCAGCAGACGACTCAGAGTTTGCAGCTTCTTTGAAACTGTTTTGGTGAAAAGTGTTTTATTATGGTATGCTTTGGTCTGGTGCTTATCAGCTATTTCCTCACTGTTGTCTTCAATACCGAGGTAAAGGAAGGGAAGCATTCCTCCATTACTCACTGAAGACGTTTCAAACAGAATACCCTTATGTGTAACCGTGACATTTGTGGTATTTTAGTCAAGCTGCGTGAGAGATTTTATCTGTACATCTTGAACACCCCTGTGTGGTGAATCCTTTGTCTGAAGAGAGGTGTGTGTGTAATGTATAATATATATATATATATATATATTTAATAATATATATATTATTAAATAAAATACACATGAGTATGTTGATATCTATATAATTTATGGTTCTCACCTGTTGCATTCTGCTTAACATTGGCACCAGAAACTGGAACAGCTAAATCAGTATCCTGACTTCAACAACTATCTCATCTTTGTCCTCACCAGGCTGAAAACTGAAGGTGGGTCTGCTATGCATTGGCTTAGTGTGGCTTTTGACTACTGAATCAAAATGCATGTACTTTTTTTTGACGGGGGGGTCAGTAAATGATGCCTCTTGTGGCTCCAGGAGATGAACTGTTGTCCATACATCTTAAACTGTTAATTTGTGCTTAAGTCTCGTTGCCTTAGGTCCTGATTACACAAAGTTGTTAAATGCAGTTTTATTTAAAGAAGCCATTTCTTCCAATAACTATGAGGTAGCATTGTCATTGCACTGGTGGATCCATAAGCTGTTAGTCCGGGGTAGGCTTTGAGCACCTTTGAGCTAGATATTGCCATGATACAGTGTACAGCTGTAAAAGTATAAAAGTGCTGCTTTTTTCCAAACAATATATTGAAAAGTAAAGGCCTGTGCTGTAGCTGTGTTAGGATTTATTTTGATTTCCAAGATGAAATTTTTTTATAGGAGTGCCTCTGCTTTAGTGTGATGTTAAACTCCTGGCTGCAGGTGTCTTCCGTTCTGGCGCCTTTATATTCCTTTATATCTGCTTGCACTGCACTGATTGGTTTATATACATTTCCTGCATGGTGCGTGCCTCCTGCTCATTGGCTAGATGAACCCACTCGCTCCCTCAGTGGCTTGATCTTGAAGAATAACGTGAAGGCCCACTACCAGAACTTCCCTCAAGGTGTGGCCGACTTCATCAAGCAGGAGTGCGTGAACAACATCGGTGATCCCTCCCCTCTCATCCGCGCCACAATCGGTAGGCCTCTCTGCAGCGGTGCGGCTGGCTTCATGCCATCTCCTAAAGCTATTAATCTCCTCGATAGTGCTGGCATGAGCGGAGCAGGCAGGTGACGCCATCAATACTGTTCTAGGGGTTAATCCAGCTGATGAGGACTGTTCTTGTGGTTGGCTCTGGGGTACCTCCTTGGGCATCATACCGGCCAACACAGGGACTCATCATTCCAGCAGACATTAGTTTTGATGATACTTTGCATAAATCCCAACTTTTTTTCTTCTGATGAACTTTTTTGTTTGGCTGTTGACATGTGAAATTATTGTGGGATATGGTGCGTCCCTTCCTCACTGGTAACAGTCCTGCTCTTTCTCTCGCTGCCTCTGCCCCCCCCCCCCCCCCAGGCATCCTGATCACCACCATTGCCTCCAAAGGAGAACTGCAGATGTGGCCCGAGCTTCTCCCTCAGCTCTGTGAACTGCTCAATTCTGAGGACTACAACACTTGTGAGGTTGGCACTCCCCTATTTTGCTCTCCCTTCCCCGTGAGCTTGGCACCGCCCTCTTTGTGCTCTCTCTCCCAATGGCGCTCCTGATCTGCCTCTGTTAGTTTGTACATTTCTCTCCGAAGGCGCTTCAGTTGTCATGTGGTCCTGTCTGACAGAAGACCATGTGGCATCATTTGCCACCCATTTTGTGGTCTCCAACATAGTTTGTTGATCTTTCCCCCCCACTGTCTAAGCTTGTTTTTATACATGCCGCTCTGGATGTGATGGACAACTCTGTCTTGAGTAACTATGATAGCTATTGTATTCATACTGTCTGATCCAGAGTGATGAACTGGCACCCATCCTGGTCTGGTGTTTTTCTTTTTTCTTGGCTTGACTACTTCCTGTTGTCTTTAGGGCTCCTTTGGTGCTCTGCAGAAGATCTGTGAGGACTCGTCTGAGCTCCTTGACAGCGATGCCCTCAACCGCCCCCTCAACATCATGATCCCCAAGTTCCTGCAGTTCTTCAAACACTGCAGCCCTAAGATCCGGTGGGTTGTTGGTTGCAGCTTATGCCCGAACCCGTTTCCTCTTTACTTTGCCATCTCACCGGTTCTGCTTACTGTCTCCCTCGCCCATTAGATCTCACGCCATCGCCTGTGTGAACCAGTTCATCATTGGTCGAGCACAAGCCCTGATGGACAACATTGACACCTTCATTGAGGTGAGTGCATACCGCCTTGCTCGTTGGGTGAGCTCTATCCAGACTATAGCCTTTCTTCAGTGCCTTATCTGCTGGCAAACCGGTCTCCCCTAGAGTCTGTTCGCACTGGCCGGGGATGAGGACCCCGAGGTGAGGAAGAACGTCTGCCGCGCCTTGGTCATGCTATTGGAGGTCCGAATCGACCGGCTCATCCCCCAGATGCACAGCATCATTCAGGTGAGGCCCGGAGTCTCCTGGCCATCTTCTCTGCTTTCCTGATTAAGCTGTCGCCGTCGTTGCAGGTCAAAATGGCCCCACCTCACAGTGAACCTCACCCCTTGCCCCTGCAGTACATGCTACAGAGGACGCAGGACCCAGACGAGAACGTTGCCTTGGAGGCTTGCGAGTTCTGGTTAACCTTAGCAGAACAGCCCATCTGCAAGGAGGTTCTGGCTGGACACCTGGTCCAGTGAGTTTCTGGCTGCTAGTGCCACACACAGACGGCAGTGTTAAATCCCAGCATGCTCCTTTGGTGCTGAATGACGCTGCTTGGGTTTGTGAGACCTCATTGGCTGTTTTTTTTTATATTCCACAGGCTGATTCCTATCTTGGTAAATGGCATGAAGTATTCCGAGATCGACATCATCCTGCTAAAGGTTGGTTCTTTGGTCCTTAATACTTTGCAAGGCTCCCCTAATTCTCCCTGACACATCGGGTGTGATGACTGCTTGCTTCTTGACGTTACTGTGATGTGTTGTATTCATACTGTCTGACCCGTGACCTAAGATGGCGGGAAGCCCACCTGGCCGCGCCTCGGCACTCTGACGTTCCCGACATCTGTTCCCTCCCTCCTGCAGGGCGACGTGGAAGAGGATGAGGCAGTCCCGGACAGCGACCAGGACATCAAGCCACGCTTCCACAAGTCGCGCACTGTCACCCTGCAGCACGAGGGAGGCGGCGGGGAGGAGGGCGAGGACATCGAGGAAGAGGAAGACGACGACGACGACACGCTGTCCGACTGGAACCTGCGTGAGTTCTGAGCCCCCAAAGCCACCTTATCGAAGACCTAGACACATATGGAACCATCCGGTCCTAGTAGAAGCAGAAGTAGAACATTTAGGTTTAGCAATAAGGTCCACAACTGCCTTGGGGGGGGGGGGGCTGTCTCTAGGGGAGGTACTGGGCGCTCATGACGGCCTGGCACAGTGGACGTGATGACCTGTTTTTTCTTGAGTATCAGTGATGTTTTTGTATTCATACTGTCTGATCCACTGTAGTACTGCCTCCTAATGTTCAGAGTTCTGCTTTTCGAGGGGCCGGGTGCTCTCTGCCTCTGACAGTGTGCTGACGGGCTTGAAATGGGGGCTGTCTCGCAGGAAAGTGCTCAGCGGCTGCCCTGGACGTTCTGGCCAACGTGTTCCGCGACGACCTGCTGCCTCACCTCCTCCCCCTGCTGAAAGAGCTGCTCTTCCACCACGACTGGGTCGTCAAGGAGTCCGGCATCCTGGTTCTGGGAGCCATTGCAGAAGGTGCGTCTCCATAGCCCGTCTGAGAGAGCCAGCCTTGTTCATCAGGGCACGCTGTACGTGTCTCTTTGAGAGAGAGAGAGAAGTGAATAGTTATAAGCTGGTCACTAGCTCCTGTGGTAGGATCGCTGAGCATCTGCGTTGCAAGCACTTAATTTGAGAAGCTGATCTCATTCAGGATGACCGATGACGTGGCTTACTGTACATGCTCATCTTTACCTACTGCTCTCTAGCGTGACCTATGGTTTCTCCCGGGGGCTTCCTGGTGGCGTTTGCTTGGTAACCAGCCAGGCATCTTCATAGGCACCCACATCGCCTCAGCTGAACTTCTCGATTTGAAGGAGCACCGGCTCTATTTCAAGGTCCCTCTGGATATCCGAGCGTCTCGCCCTGTCGCGCAGAGGAAGCTCAGTGGCCTTGGTGTCTGCCACTCGCACCCTTGTTCAGTCATAGCTCATGGCCCATGACCGTGGTGAGGATCGGGATGTGGACCGGCCGGTGAACCGCGAGGCTCGTCTTACAACTTAACTCCTGTTTTCCTGGTCGGAAGTAGCGTGACAGCTCCTGCGAATCACGATGTTACCTGTAGACCTCCATTCCAGATGCCCTTCCAGTCACGACTGTTCCAGGATATCCTATACATGAGAACCATGCTTGTAGGCCGACACCCGCTGTGACTGGCCTTTGTGCCAAAGATGCAGACACAGTAGCAGCCGTGGTTCCCCGTGGTCCAGCCACACCTCCCATCGTACATGCTTTCTCCAAGTCGCCAAATATGTGTAGACGGTCTGTATATTTCCATGAAGGAAGGAGAGCTGCTTCACGCTCCCAACTGTTCCTTCACCCACCATCCATGCAACATTTGTGCTCCATCAAACCTAACAGCATCCAGTGTTTTTCCGAATCTCTGGATGGAGGTTTTAGACTTTGCACTGCAGAGGCCTTCAGCTGTGAGCCTCCTGCCCACCGGGTTCTCAGCCTGCTAGCGGGGGGAGGGGGGGGGCGAGTTTTTTTTACTTCTGAATATCCCCGTAAGTGTTCCATACCTTGGCTGAACACTGCCTGGCCAAGGTCCCACCTCCCCCTGTCATTAAAATGCACAAGCCCCTCTGCTGTGCTCAGGTCACTGTCCTCAGAGGGGGAACTGGCGAAGTACCCCTGCATGTCCTCTGCTCCCCTTTACGATCTGGTGATGGTTCCGTTGCCATGCCGCTGAAATGTTGCTTTGTGCAAAGGGTTAGGTGGCAGTATTCCCCTATGACTGACCTAGTTTCAGCGTAATAGGATGAAGACTAATTGGATTTGTTGTGAGGGTGTAACACTGTGTACCTCTGTGTGGACCATGTTTCCTGTTGTATGGCCCACACGCAGAGTCTGATTTGTGATGTGTTCCACTATATTAAAATGTGAGGTGTGTGTGCGCACATGCTCATAAATAAGCATGTTTTTGAATTTTTAATGAAAAGATTCTAGATATTGTAAACTAGGAGACCTTTCTCATCTTCCCTGAGTGTATACATTAGGTGCCCATTTGGCCATGAGAGGGGCACTGACATGGGCATGCCCGCGCAAGTGCCCTGCCTGTAGGGTCACCCCACACCCTGCTCTTGTCCGCTCAGTCTGTGTGCAGGGCATGGTGCCTTTCTTGTCTCTAGGGTCACCCCACACTCTGTGCTCCTCTTTGCCAGGCTGCGTGCAGGGCATGGTGCCCTTCCTGCCCGAGCTCATCCCACATCTCATCCAGTGCCTGTGTGATAAGAAGGCCCTGGTGCGCTCCATCGCCTGCTGGACCCTCAGCCGCTACGCCCACTGGGTGGTCAGCCAGCCGCCCGACTCCTACCTCAAGCCGCTCATGACGGAGCTGCTCAAGAGGATCCTGGACGGGAACAAGAGGGTGCAGGAGGCGGCCTGCAGGTAGGCCGGTCTCTGTCGGCCGGTCTCTGTCGGCCGGTCTCTGTCGGCCGGTCTCTGTCGGCCGGTCTCTGTCGGCCGGTCTCTGTCGGCCGGTCTCTGTCATTATTACATTTTCGGGACCTGATTTCCCTACAAGATGTTAAAAACCTGTTTTGTTATGGGGACCATTTTTTCTGTCACCACATGGTTAACCTCAATTTTATAAAAATCTGTGACTGAAAAAAACTGAACGTATTTTCTTATAAAGTCTTATTTTGTTTGATTGGGTAGGGGTTAAGTGTGTCATTGGAAATGAATGGACGGTCCCACGCAAATAAGTTCAAACATTTGTGCGTGTGTATATATGGTGTTTGAAGAATTAAACAATTTTATTAAAAGAATTTGGTTGCCAGCAGTTTTCAAGAAACTGTTAAACCCCGCCCCCCCTTCACCACCAGGGGTAAAGTCAGATTCCTTCATTGTTCTCTGGTTGCTCTTTGGTTTCCCTGCTTTTAAAAGATGAGCCATAATCCCCCCCCCCCCCCCCCCCCCCCCCCCCCCCCCCCCCC